TTCTCGCTAAAAATATATTAGCCTAAATTTTAGTATCTGCAAGGTCAAAATTTCCTTGAATTGTTAGTGGTAAATAGCCCATTTTGATGGTGATAAATAGTGAAAATGGAGCAAAAAAATTGCAGCCTCAATTTGGATTACATTTCATCTCCTGTAGCGTAACCATGGCTAAGTTACAAAGACACGCGCGCTGATTCACTAAGACTATTGATGAAACGCCTTCGCAAAAAGGCAAATCTTTGAGGGAATCTACGTATTGCTATTTTGAAATTTTTTGCCCAAGGTGAACAGAGCTTTGAACATTCTTTTCACAAATTAGTTTCAAAAACGCTCGAATTCTTTTCAGGAGGTTATCTACGTTTTTTGGTAAATTTGTGCCTTAAAAATTATGCAACTATGTATCATCAATTATCAAAGAAAGTATTAAGTTTACCTGCACTTCTTCTACACTAACCCTAATTTTAGCTTTCTTTTATTTATTTTTATCATCTCGCAGAACAACGAAAACGGCTATCATTTTATATAGTTATATATGTAGGTAATTAGATACCATTCGGAAAAAATTTCACTTGCAGTGCTCCTCTATTATTTGGTTTCATAGAAATTTCGCTGTACTGTATAAAAAATATCGGTGGAGAATTGGGGAATACTCAAAGCCTAAGTGAAAATGAAGTGTTTTGCAAGCTTGTAACTGTCAACAGTGACGTGGCTGCCAAGACGCGTCTGCTCTGGCTGTTTGTGTGATGACAGGAGATACTTATTTTTGCTTCTGTCTAATCTCGAGAAGGCAGAACAGAAGTAGCCCTTGTTTCTACCGATTATGTCGATGTGTTTTTTCAACAGATATCGTGTACATAAATTTAAAAATCACCGCAGTTTAAAATTTTTAGAGTTTTGTTAGTTTTTAATTTCTTGAAATTCCCTCTTTTTAATAACTTGAGTGGAATTCAAAAACTTTCTAAACTTTCAAAACTTTGTGAGTTTGAGAAATTTTAGTGAATCTCAATAATTCAATATAATGATGAATACTAGATTTCTAGAAATTTTTTATTTTTCAAAAATTTTGAGAATTGTACGAATTTTAACAAATTTTTTCTAAGTAAAAGTGTCGATAATACAGAATTGATCAAACGAAATTAAAAGTTTTCGAATGTTGCAAACATTTTCATATTTCGACGTTTTTGAAAATTTAAAAAATTTTCGTAATTCTTGAAGATTAAAAAAATTGTTGGACGTTGATGTTTTCAAAGTTTTCAAAAAATTTAAAAATTCTCAAACTTTGTTATATCAACACAAAATTTTGAAAAGTCCAGAAAAGTGGAACAATTTTGGAATTTTTCAAAAATGTTAATATCTTTCAGAATTCTAAGAATTTTCTATTTTTTACAGACAAGTACATGAACATAAGAATTTTTCGACAATTTGTGATGTTTCAAACTTTTACATTTTAGGATGGATTTTAGGATAAATAAAATTCTCAAAATTTTGGAAAATATAGAAAATTTCTAAAATCTCAATAATTTTGTACATTTCAAAATATTCTCATTTTACCAAAATTTCTAGAATCTCCCGGATTTCGATAGTTTTTGAAATTTTGGAAATCTCAAGAAATTTAATAATATAAAATTCAAAATTTTGGAATTATCGTTGTTTTCTGAACCTTCGAAAATATCCCCAATTTCTCCTACCCGGGTCCGCCACTGCACTGATAAGACCCAACCAGTACGTTGACGTTGGGTTCCAGGAAGGCTAATGCCGCGGTAGTTGTCACGTATGGCAGGGTCACCTCTCTTGTGGGCAGAGCACACTTAAATTGCAATCCGCGGGCATGCGCTCATCTGACCATATTCTGCATAAGAGTGATGCATGCACCTTATCAGCTCCTCGCCGCCATACTTGAATAGCTTGGCTGGCAGGCCTTCAGCTCCAGCAGCGTTGATGTCTTTCAGCCGTTCTATCTGGAGAGAGCCATGTATCTTCATACATTTTTTTACGCTAGAACCTAGTACTATATAATACCATGTTTCGGACCCCAGCATACAGTGCCTTATTTCCATATTCTAGAAAATATTAATTAAATTATTTTATATCGCTAAATTTCAAAACAACGTCAAAAATTTTTTTAGAAATGCCTGATAAAGACAAATCAATAACAACTAGAATATTTAAATCAAAGTGTATGCGGGGACGGCATTTGATTTTGAAGATTACCAAGCGCAATAATGGCCCTTATTATGAGTCGCATTCGATTTTCGATCTTCGCTGGCTATCGAAGATCGAAAGTGAAATTCGTACTATGGGCTATGCAAGCATGTCGAAATTTTCGTTGAGTATCGAATTTTCTGTCGAACAGAATTTTGTATTCGTTGGTGTAGCGAAGTATTAGAAAAGTGTAAAAAATGTTTGATTTTGCATTTGTTTTCTTATTTTTTGACGGCTATACAATAAATTAAATNTTCGATTTTCGATCTTCGCTGGCTATCGAAGATCGAAAGTGAAATTCGTACTATGGGCTATGCAAGCATGTCGAAATTTTCGTTGAGTATCGAATTTTCTGTCGAACAGAATTTTGTATTCGTTGGTGTAGCGAAGTATTAGAAAAGTGTAAAAAATGTTTGATTTTGCATTTGTTTTCTTATTTTTTGACGGCTATACAATAAATTAAATCAATTTGTATTAATTTCAAGCAGTTCTAACGTCGTGAATAGTAAACACAAGCTCGGAAAGTCTGGTTTTACATATGAAAGAAAATCCCAATACGCTGTTGGCACGATCTCTGAGAACAAAATACTGGAGCTGTTTATAGTTTTAATATATTTTAAATAGATTTGGATCACAAAATTCCTTAAATATATTGGCCCGTAGTCATAGAGAAGTTATAAAAAGGTTTTAACGATTAAAATTGTGTTTTATTGCAATCATCATTTTAACTAATTCATAGTCAACTTAAAATGCATTTTATGGCAAAACAGAATTTTAACTTTAAAATGAGGAGAACGCGGTTTCAAAATGGTAAAATAAGGCTCTAAGTTTTGTTTTGTTGTTGAAGTAGTAAACGCAATGGCACCCAGGTTCGGCCCCACTCCGAGCGATTCCAAACAATTTTTATTTTTATTTTTTATTTTTATTTTAACATAAACATTATTTTATTTTATTTTATTTTATTTTATTTTGTTTTATTATCTTTTTTGTTAATGGTATTTTATATAATTATAATTAAATACTAAAAATTTAAATAGTATTTAAAAGAACAAAAAAATATGCAAAAAAATATTCCCTGGCAGTGGGATTCGAACCCACGACTTCCCGGCTTGCAAAATCCGCAATCCAGCAGCGGACGCAGGGAGAACTAATTAGATATCTATCTATATCTATATCTATACTAATTATATAAAGATAAGTCCTTTTTTTTGTAACAGGTAATCTCGCGAACGGCTGGTCCGATTTTAATGAAATCTTGTGTATAAATAGCTTTCGGTAACCACCATGTTTTAGGCTAAAAAAAATTTACTTTTTTTTCCGGTAGGTGGACCAGGGACCGATCTATTCGGAAAAATCGTATTTATGGTCCGATTTGTTTAAAATTTGGTACGTAGGTAGCTTTTTACCTAGATTAGCATATAGGATCCTTTTTTTCTGGGAAGTGGACCAGGGACCGATCTATTCGAAAAAGTTTTATCTGTCGTCCTATTTGCTTGAAATTTAACACATATGAATTTGCTTGAAATTTGACGCGTAGGCAGCTTACTGCCTGGATTAACATATAGGATACTTTTTTCTTATAGGTGGACCAGGGACCGATCTATTATACAGAATAGAATTGAATGATTGTTTTAAGGCGCCGCAAAACAAGCGGGTATTGGCTATTTATCGATACTTATTATCTATACCAATTATATTAAGAGAAGTGCCACCTTTTTGTAAGAAGTGATCTCGCGAACGGCTGTACTGATTTTTTTAAATAGGCTTTTTTTGGTAGTAGCCACCGCATTTTTCTGAAATCATTTGTGGTAGAGTCCTGGAACTTGGTATGAAGGTTTAGATACAAAACAATCCCATACTCTTGGAGTAAAGTGGGGGCTATTGGTAAAGAGGGCCTGGAACCTTCCAAACATGCTATCTATAAATACATATACAATTCTTCGGTACGTGTATTTTCGAGTGAACTCCTTCTAAACGACCGAAATGATTTTAATGAAATTTTTGTCCTAAAGTCCCTGTATAGTTTAGGTTCACAACTTAAAACGCTGATCTGGCTAATATTCAAAATATGTATTGGTAACGTGAAGGGAAATATTTCTGCGAAAAAATGGCTCACCAGGTGGCTCTGGAGTCGAGTTATTGCTAAAAATCGTCATTCAGAGACATCAGGGATCAAAATCAAATTACCACCGTTAAATGACAACCATAAACATTGCGGTCCTTGCTTTGCGGCGACTAAACAAAATAAAGACAATTCTTGATGAATGCCTACAAATTCAATTGTAAGACAATTATGGTATTTCGTCTGAAATAAATATGTATGTACATATATTGTATTTCTGTGGACCAATGGTGTTCTCTCATTTTGAAATTGCCACCACCTTTTCTATACAGATTTCGCGAGAACTTCTTCACATACATAACGCTTTCGTTAGGTTATTTAAGACGGCAATTGAGGATTTTCTTTCTGACGACCACAAAACGTGAAGGTGAATTGTAGTGAAAACTTTGTACAAAATATTTGAATAAAAAAATAAATTTTGAGCGGGACGAAGATCGCCGGGTCTGCTAGTTTCTATATATTGCCGGGTAAATTTTTTCTCTTCATATGGATAGCACTGTTTTCTCTCATCTTAACAAAAAACTGTTTCTAAGACGTCTATGATTAACAAAACTTAAAAATCTATTCTAAATTTAAAACTGTATTTTAACAAGAATGAGATTTAGCTTGCGACTATGACTATGGGCCATTGTATGTCAAAATGTATTCGAAAGACTGCGCTTAAGCTCTCCTAAACGTTTTCTGCTCCTGGCCCTTTTTCTAAGCTCTCATCCTCTGACGAATCGTTCGACCAGAACTCCGTTGTACTAACTAAAATTTTTTACCACGTTTTTATAAACTCCCTTTCTTTTTTTTCATTTTAATTTGAGCAAATTTACGTATGTACATATGTATAAGCGCACTATTTAGTTTGCTCGATTTGTAAACAAAGCTTCTCAGCTTTGAAAACTATGCTATTGTTAACAACCAAACGAAAATTCGTTCGATCAGCACTTTCGACCACAGTCCAAGATTGAATGCAACTCATAATAGGGGCCAATATTTAAACTTGCATATTTGAAACTCAATTTCAATGTTTAAGTTGTTGGTGTTTTTGATTTATGCAACAATTGTTAAAAGACCATTTTGGTCTTATTTTTGTAAACATGTCCTTTTTAATGAATATACTCCTTTGGGATTTCAGTAAACTAGGACTGAGTATTTCATGTCGAAGTAAAACGATGTTAACTTAAATTAAATTTTAGCAATTTATTAATTTCATTAGACGCCCAAACTTGTTATGCGCTATTATCCGATAAAGTTTGTATCTCAGTTTATTAGCCTCTCCTTTTAGACTTAAGGCCCCTATTATGATTCACAACTTTCAAGATGTAAGTTGTAAATTGGTATTGTGGGACACAACTCAACTCAACTTTGAAAACGTAGTTGTATGTTAGTTGTCTAGCACTAGCATCCTCGGTAGGGCTACCAGACGTCCCGGTTTTCCCGGACATGTCCCGGTTTTAGACTATTTGTCCCGGTGTCCCGGTCCAACCTTAAAATGTCCCGGGTTTCGTTTAAGTGTTCAGATTTCAATTGCAGATATTTTAATAAAAGTTTAAAAATCACTACCAATGCCATTTATGAAATAGTTACATCTCCAGATAGTTGAACTTTGCACAAGCAATATTTGATGATCGATATACCTACAATACATACCTTTAAGTGCAAAGTGCCCTTCCAGATGCTAATTATGCCTTTTTGCTCGTTTGTTGTTTGTGCATGGTTTACTTCCAATGTAAGTTTTCGCGACAAAGTTTATGGAATATAAAAATGTGCGTCTATAGTGTTCTAATTACCCCAAGAAAATGCCAAAGAGAAAGTATAAATTCCTTCCCGCTTTCACAGAAGAGTTGTCATTCGTTTATATTTTTTGACGTTATAGTACCTTAAAAGAGAGCCTCACTGAGTTGTCCATCACACCTTGTTTAATACATCTTGGCCATACCTAGTCTATCATAAATCTAATATATGTAGATAATTTTATTCCTCATATTTCATCTTAATGGATTAAGGAAAGAAATTCGATCAATTTACAAAAGTTCATACGGCAAAAATTACGTGTACAGAGTTTTGCAATTATATTAAAGAAAAGTCAGAAGTTTTGGTGTTGGAAGTGAATACCAATAGTGTTGCTATGCAAAAATAGTTTGTAATGTTAAAATTATTTTTTAGGTTGAATGGACTGAAGAGCAGAACATTGCTTACTCATAGGCCAAGAATAAGAGCGCTGAAATACCATATGGTATAAGCAGTGTTGACGTTTTGATCCACCTGTGAGATAACTTCAAGTATTACAAGGTTTGTCGAGAGTGTGTAAACTTCTTCTATAATCCTGCTGTTCCACAGGATGAAAGAGTTTTCCCGTTCAAACGGGGTCATTGACATTCCTACTGTATCTATATACATACATAATACGCGAAGGGATTTTTTGTTCAGGATAAAAAATCTGCACCGTTCGCTCGATTTTCAAAAATGGGGTATTAAATTAAAGCGTTTGGCCTGTAGATGTGCAAACTGGTTCTCTCTAATTCAGCACACTTCTTGATATAACAATGTTGCACTTCTTAAATAATGGTTCTTTATTAATTCTCATTTTCGTTGTTGGTGTTTCCGACAGGGTAGGAGTATGATGTAATGTGGAACGATTTTCCGTCATCCCTTGTCAAATTTGGTTTGGAGACAAACCGGTTTCGGCGTTCGTCTCCGAACGAAAAATGACACTGAAGATGGCACAACGCCGAAACCGGTTTGTCTCCAAACCAAATTTGACAAGGGATGACGGAAAATCGTTCCACATTACATCACACTCCTACCCTGTCGGAAATACCAACAACAAAAATGAGAATAATTAGAAACTTAAATAAAGATTTTGACGCTAATAAGAGTAATGGGATGTACTAAGTCCACGGAATAGTTCCCACAAAGAGAAGCAATCAAGAACGTAGATACTGAAGACCACCCAGATTGAGAAGTGTCTATATCATTATAGATGAAAGTTCCAACTACGGTTTCAAAACACCACGTTAATGCCGCACAAACTGATATTTTTATGCAAAAAAATATGTTAAAATAGGAAAATTAGTAAAAAAGATTTTTCACAAATAATACTTCACGAACTCACCGACAAATGCATAGAAAAACCTTTATAAAAGTAGCCAATGCCGTAACCAATTAAAAGTGACAGCTAATGCCGTACGATTCGATGTTTTGAGGCAAAAACACTTTTCAGTAAAAAAGATTTTGCACCAAGAATACTTCCAAGGACTCTCCGACGGATAATTTTATGAAGAGATGAAATTAGATACATGAAATCAGCAACGTGAATACAAAAACGCAACACGCGATATTAATGGGAGCCCTGCCAGATGTACTGATTTTCAGGGGTGAAAATGGTTGTACGGAGTCAACGTACGGATTTTAGCTTTCCGTCAAGATGTACGGATCTTTCGAGTGTTTTTTTCATATTGTAAAAATTGGCCTGTTTTACACATATCTCATAGGTTTCTTATAGTTCCTTTCATGTTTTTATAAAAAATCCGTTATTTTCGTATTTGAGGGACTTATCTATTAACAGGTTGAATATTTTTCACCCGATTTTACAAACCAAGCATGAGAAGAAGATTTATAGGCCTTTAAAATTACATATAACAATCTATTGGTAGACTTCGATTGTTGGCAATTTTTGTCAAACAGTATAATGTTTTGAATTTTGAAAATCTGACATCAGATTCGTAATCAGCAACCCCAGAAACCCACTGGAAACGAGTTTCAAGCCTTGACAGTGCTTAAGACGTTCAGTATCAACGTTTTAATTTTAGTAATTTTTTTTTATTTGATCGCCATATTGGATCCGCCATTTTTAATTTTAAAAAATTTACTTCAGATTCGTAATCAGCAACCCCAGAAACCCACTGGAAACGAGTTTCAAGCCTTGACAGTGCTTAAGACGTTCAGTATCAACGTTTTAATTTTAGTAATTTTTTTTTATTTGATCGCCATATTGGATCCGCCATTTTTAATTTTAAAAAATTTACTTCAGATTCGTAATCAGCGATCCCGAAAACTCTCGAGTGCTGGGTTTCGAACAAATCCAACCATTTAAAAAAAAAATGGACCGCGATTTTGGATCCGCCATTTTGAATTTCGAAAAACTGACTTCAGACTAATTAGCAACCCCAGAAACCCCCTGGCAACAAGTTCCAACCCATGACAATGCGTAAATCGTTCAGTATTAACGTTTTAATTTTACTAGTCTCTTTTCGAGAGCATATTTTCGGGCACTAGGCCCATTCTAACTGCCCAAGACAGGTATGTAATTAAGGGAATGTTCACCAATAATACCAGAGTAATTATATGTAAAAAACAAATTTTTAGCTGCATTTTAACATGTCAAGAAAATAAAAAAATTTAGAACATCAGTGTTTTTATAAAAAACCGACCAGCGCGACCTCTAAGAAAACTTTTTTTTTCAAAATAAAAAAACACGTTTCTCTTTTTTCATCACAAATAAACATAATTTGAGGTAGCGTTTATGAATTTCCAAAAAAAAATTTTTTTTGAACCACTCTAATGTACATAAACTAGAACACACTGCTTGTTAAAAAGCTCTAGTAAAAAAAATAATAAGGTTTTCTGTGAAGCAATCAATAAATACGACTAGTGGAAATATGTGTTTCTTTATTTTATGTTATTAAAAGTGAGATTCCTGTATTCACCATTTCGTGCGGACTTTCCACCCACAGCTTTTTGTCTTTGTACGGATTTTAGACTCTAAACGTCTGACAGCCCTGATTAATGGTTGTAAGGTTTAAATAAATAAATTTAAATATTGGAGGCTTATACAGATTAATTGATTATACCTTTTGCCTTTCAAGCGCTTATTTAAATAATTTATACGGAAATGCATCTTGCGCTTAAAAAATAGCTTTTTTACATTTATTGGGAGGTCTACTTCATGGCTGTGGTATAACAATTTTTCGGAGAAGTTGGTGGTGCCAGAAATTACTTCGCCATTAAATATTTGAAATATCCAACTTATTCAGCCTAATCTGCTCCGCTGGTGAATGGAACAAACGGACGCCTTCGTAAGTCCACGTTTTTATGCAAATTACACAGCTTGGCTTAGGCATTATTCTTAATCACAAATAAATTATATAGTATTTTTCCACAGATATTCAAACGGAAAGTTTTAGAATCAACAAATATTCCACAAAAATTCAAACGGAAAATTTTAGAAAAAACACAATTTTGCAAGCAAATAATAAATGGCCAAGTTGCGCCTAAATATATGTAAATACTTCCAAAGAAGCAACACATAAAACGTTCAACTAATAAAGGCAACATTGTGAAATATAAGGCAGCCGAATGTCAGAAAATGAACAGAGAATACTGCCTTATTACTTCACCTGTTTATTGCGCCATGGAACCAAGGTGTATTAAACAAGGTGTGATTGACAATTCAGTGCGGCTCTCTTTTAAGGTACTATTATGTCAAAAAGTATAAACAAACGAATTAACCCTTAGTTTTGCATGTATCTTGTCAGCACTGATGCCCTAGGCTTTTATTTCGATAATAGTTATGTTTTACTTACATTACCTGGAATATATATATTTTGTCAATAAAATAAAACAAATTGTTTATAAAATAGTTTTAGCAAATTTCTTGTTTTTAATTGCCCAAGTTTTATGCTTTTGTGCGTTTATTTTTATATTTAAATTTTTTATCCTAAACATTATTCGACACTTATAAAAGTAGGATTTTACATTTGTTTCCA